GGACGGGAGGAAACGTCGCGCTCCCATAAGGACTTGCGCAGTACAGGTACAGGGACGTGGTAATTGGCAGACTTAATATTGTCTTATTTAATATCGTGTGATAATTGCATAGAAGTGAATTATAATAATATAAGTGTGTGAACTGCCCTCCGAGTCTGAGTGCTCTTTACCCGAGGTACCTGCTCGCGACAAGTGATGGGAGTGGGCGGCCGTGGGGATGATTGCCCCGGAAGGGGCGGTCTGGCTTCTCAACACCGGGACGGGGATGTCGAGACGCTCTGATTGGGCAGGCCGCAGCCTCATGTTCCTGCCCACCTTCAAACTCCCCAGAAGGGCGATCTGGGGCAGAAGGCCGCCCGTGACACCCGACGGCCTAGTACCTGGGGTGCCAAGGCCAACGCGACCATAAAGACGCAGGTCCGGGTTGTCGTGGCAACTCAGCCAGCCGCTTGCCGATTGGGGAAGCCCTGAGAGCGAAGAGGTTTGAGACATCTCGCGAGAGTCCTCCTCTGGGGCTTCCTCGGTGTCAGGTGCAGGGGGCATGAGGGCGGGGCCTGGCCTCTGAGGGCCTCGGTTGCGTCCTGTTCGCCCCGCGCAGACTGCGGGTGGGAGTCTCTGTCCGCGGCGGCACCCATGGGCCGGGTGGCCGGTGAAGCGGGACATGGAGGACTCGGAGCGGCTGGCGGGCGTGTGCGCGGTCTGGAGCCACCTGGCCCGGGGCTCCGCGTTCCGGCTGCTGCCCGGGCTCCAAGGCCTGCGCGTCCTGCCGCCTGCGCCTCCCACGTGTCCCACGGCTGACCGCTTCCCAGCTCCCCGCTGTCTCTGTGGCCCAGTCACCAGCACCGTCTCCCAGCCAAGATCTCTGCTTCCACCCTTGCGCTCTCTCCCACCCCCCAGTCTCTTCGCAGCGTGGCAACCACAGTAAAGACAGGCCAGGCCCCTTCTCCGTGGTTCCCTGTCCCCCCAAGTGGAAGTCAAGGGCCTTACCTACCTCCCTGTTCCATCCTGCCAAAGAGCCTTTGCGTCTGCTTTGCCCCTGCCTGGAATACCCCGCCCGCATCCCCCTTTCAGGGCATTGCTTCGTCGCAGCCTCCTCAGCGAGGTGAACGGCTGCTGTTTAAAGCTTATCCCCTTCCTCATACTCTTGCACTGTTTTTTCTCCTTAGGTTCTACCACAGCATAGTTGATAACGTATTTGGGAAGGCTCTGTGAACAAGGGATTGTCTTGTCCAGATGAGAGCAGGTGCTCAGTAAACCTTGTGTGGTTCCTCTTCTTGCCCAGAGGACGCCCTTCAGCCAGGAGGTGGACTAAAGGACTCTGCTCCGGTTCTAGCAGGGATGCGTGGGCTCCCATGGGTGGGGAGCCAGCGTGGGTTGAGCAACTGCTCACCTGCCAAGGGCTTAGAGAGCCGGTTGCTGTGGAAGCGTAGGATCTTTGGGCCTAAAGAGGTCTTTGATTTGTGCAGGCACCACCTCCCGTTTGCCAGGCACTACTCTAGGTACTGAGTTGGCTTGAGAAGTCCTGGAGTCACATGAAGGCCACCTTGGTCTGGTGGGAGGGGATGAACAGCACACAGAGGGGAGCGCTGAGGCCAGGCGTGTGTAAGGCACATGGAAGAAGGAGGTGGACTGGTTTCTAGTGGGGCCTCTGGAAGTCGATGGGGCTACTTCCCTCTGCAGCGGCTGATGCAAAGCATGTTCCGTGCACACAGTGAGAAGGAACCAACCATCTCCACCACTCTCCTTGATGTGGCTCCGGTGACCTCACATTTATGTGATGAATTTTTATTTACACATGAGGAAACAGGCTTAGAAGAGGCAGCCCCTGACTGAGGTCCCACTTCAGCATGCTCTCTCTGGCTGCTCTTCCAGGGCACTGGGCTGCTTCCCAGGCAGGAAGCCAGACAGGCCTTGGGGCTGCCCAGAGTAGCATCAGAATGTCCGGATTACTGGCTTCCCTGTGGGCCTGGCACCAGGAGAGGAGCGCTTTGCAGGCATGTGGCTTGGGCAGGCCAGGTCAGCCATATGCCAGTCAACCTCCCAGGGCATGGCATAGGCCCCTCCAGCCGCAGATGCTCTTACAGGCATTTCCTTCTGGAGAAATGCCTGGCTTCTCTCCCTCTTAGCCCTGCCTCCCTCTCAGTTCCAAAATCAAGGGTTCCAGGGCTCTGTCAGCAAAGGACTGTGCTTGTTCCATCCTTCTGGCATGAAGCGTCATGGCCAGGAACAGACATCTGGTCTGCCTCAACCCCCGTGGCCAGGACATCTGTGGCCCTAGGGAACTTGGTGGTGAGGAGAGTAATACCAGGAAAGGCTGTACTCTGCAGTGTGCCCAAGAGTGTCAGTGTACCCCTGGCATGTCCTAGCTGGCATCTGCTCTTGCTTGAGGCTTCCCAAGGGCGACCCCCTAGGCCCTGCCATGCCAGGGCTGCCCATCTGCCAGGTGGTGTCCGCTTGGCCTGAAGGAGGGAGAAGCTAGGCTTTGGTGACAACTGATGGTGCCGGGCCTGTGGGGTCTAGACCCAGGGATGGTGGAGGAAGGGAACACCCTCCACCCCAGGCTGTGGTGTGGCTGCTGGCTGGCAGCGACACTGCCCTGCTCTGCAGAAGTGGGAGTTAGACTTGGCTGGGGAAAAAGCTGGAGACTGCTTCGTTTTACAGATGGAAAACTGAGGCTATGGAAGGGGGTGGTGTGCACACGTGCTCTGTGGGCTTTGTCCAATTTGCTCAGCACTAGGTCAAGGAGTGCATTGTGTGCTCTTGTTTTCCAGAGGAGGAAGTAGGGCTCAGAAGAACTCAAGTGATGCTGCTGCATCCTCCTGGTTAAGCAGGTTATCTGGCCTTGGCTGGAGCCATCGCCAGGTCCCTGGGCCAGTCCCTGTGCGTGTTTCTTCTGTCACACCACAGGAAAGGAAGCCAGCTGAGGAAAGGTGAGCCCAGGACCAAAGTTGACCTCCTCCCAGGAGCAGGAAGCTGAGGATGGGCTGGGAAGTTGGGCATGAGGACTCGATTCACAGGAGCCCCCTGACTGTCCCCAGTGTCCCCATGGGAATAACCCCAGGTACACCTCTGAAGCTGCTCCTCCCAGGCAGGCTGTCTGTCCTGGGCTCCTCAGCCCTGTGGTCAGGGTGGCCCCTTCCCTGGAGCCCTCCGCATCCCTGCCCTCTAGGCACTGGCCACAGAAATGGCCCCACGAGGCCAAAGGGCCCCTGAGGAGAGCCTCTCTCCAGGCCTGGATGGAGGGGGAGATGCACCATCTGCCAAGCCTAGGTGTCTCCCATCACTTTGACTGTGTAACAAGTTACCACAAGGCTTGGGGGCTTAAAACACGCAACATTCCCCAGAGTCCCTGGGTGGCTGATTCAGGCGGCCCTGTGCAGAGGCCCCTCCCTGAGCCCAAAGCTGTGACTCTGCAGCCGCCAAATGCAGCTTTGCCCAGGTGTGTCCTTGCTGTGCAGGGTCCCCACCTCCCTCTTAGTCACTTGGACAGTAAGGTCCTGAAGAAACACGCATGAAAACAGCATCCTTAACCTTGACTCATGGGCCTGACTTCGCGGGGTTCAGATGAAGTTGAGGTGGCTCTTCTCTTAGCCTCCTCCTGCCCAGAGCCCCCTGCGGGGCCTTCCCTCCTGCATATCAATGCCAGTTCAGCACAGGGGGAGCCCCAGATGTCTCCACTGTCACTGTCACTGTCACTGTCAACAGCACTGCGGTCACCATCTTGCAGGGTTGGGGGAAGGTCTGGCGGGGCGGGGTCAGGGAGCAGCAGCCTGCACCAGCTAACTGTGATGCGGAACAGAAGGGAGGAGCAGAAGAAAGTTGCCAAGGGGCCCTTCCTATCCAGGGACTGAGAAGGAGCCCAGGTAGCGTCCATCCCAAGGGGGAAGAAGGCATCCTAGGTTTTGGGGTCTTCTGAGCAAGCTGCTCTACGAGGCAGGGGCCGTGGTGGGGCAGGGAAGACTGTCCTGGGAGGCCCCTCCAGGGAACTCTGGAAGCTGGGCTGAGTGGTCTGCAGCGGGAGAGCTGGGAGAGGGTGATGGGCTTTGTGCCCAAGACTGATAGGAGCAGAACTGAGCTCCAGGAAGCCACTTTTCAGCAAGTGCCTCGGAGTGTTCTTGGAAGCAGGCTGAGTATAAATTATAAATAAACAAACGAGAACTCTGCGGCAGGGCGTGGGCCGTCGGGAAGAGGGGAGAGACGCAAGGCGGGGACCTGTTTAGGAGCTAAGGCCGCTCCCTGGCCTGCTGCCCATCGGGCCCACCTGTATGTGGACTGGGTGGTCCTCCCTGTGCCAGGCATCAGATGGTGCTCAGGCTCCTGGGGGCGCTGACCCTTGCAGGCTGTAGAAGGGAGGCCCTGGCAGACCCCCCCGGTGGGCACTAGGGAGCCCCACCTACCTCACACAGCCAAGGCTTAGTCTCCCTTGGACCAAAACAGACCCCGGTGGACACTCATCTGTGTGGGAAGTGTCGCACCAAATGTTGGAAGAGGGGAAAAAATCCTGTTTTCTTAGGTTTTTTTTCCTTTCTATTTTTGGATTATTTTTCTAGATGACTTCATTCCATGAAGGGGGTAGTGGAGAGATGGAGGGTGGACAGAGGGAGGCCCAGGGGCCCAGCAGGTGGAGTGAGGAGTGAGGGAGGAGCAGGAAGAAGTGGAGGCCCCTTCTGCTGGGGAGTGGGAGGCCAGCTCGTCCCGACCCCGGTGTGTCCAGCTCAGGCTGACTCCAGACCTTCTGGCCAGCTACCCTCCCACAAGGCTTTCTGCCCAGCCAGGTTAGGAGGGGAAGGGTCCCCAGAAGCTTGTCCCAGGACTCAGGCTCCCTGTCCTCTGCCTGCCCCATGGGCAGAGCTGAGAGTGGCTCCCCAGGACATTCCTTGCCCTGCACACTACCTGGACCACAGAGCCAGAAAAGAACAACTGCAGGACCCTCAGAGGCCCACTGACTCTGGAGAGCTGTGGAAGGAGGCCCGGTGGCCACACATCCAGAGCCACACCTTTAACACATGTCCTCCCCACTGGGCAGGGACCCAGCAGCCCACACCTGTTGTCCTGAAGCCCAGGGCCCTTGGCTGCATCTTTGATAGAGAAGCGCTCTGGGGATTGAGTCCTAGCGTTGAGGACTGAGCAGTGGAGCCAGGCCAGCTGCCTGCACCTAGCTGCAAGAGAAGCAGGGAGCCAGGATTCTCATCCTGCCTGAGAAGGGTGATCTCCAGGTATCAACCTCTTGGCACCCCTTTTGCTCATGAAGGATTTTTCTAACCCAAATCCTGAGCAGTCTCTGGGTTCAAGGACTGTGACTGGCCGGGCTCCAGTGCAAAATGGGAGCCATTTATGACCACAGCAGGTCAGGAGGGCAGCAGGACCAGCCATGCCCTGCGGACACAGGTGTATATACAAGGATAAATACTCAGGAGGCCCAAGGAGAGAGCTACTGAGGCTGAGGCGGTGGGTGGGGGGAGCTGTGGCCCCAGCAGAGCAGAGCCACAGGCTCTGAGGACCCTCCAAACTGTGTCCTTCTGCCCCACCTGCCCTGAGCTCTGCCCTCTGCTCTGCAGGCTGAGCCACCAGGTCTTAACTGGGATAAGGGAAAGGAGCTGTAAGCTGCTTGGGGCTGTCACTACAGGTCACACCAACTGCCTGCCTCAAATCACAGAAATTTCTTCTCTCACAGCTCTGGAGACTAGAAGTCCAAAAAAGGACCCTGGCAGGACTGGGTCCTTCAGAATCTGTACCAGGCTTCTCTCCAGCTTCCAGGGGGCTGGCAACCCTTGGGCCCTTGCCCTGTGGACCATCACTCCCACCTCTGCCTGTCTTCTCACAGCCTCCCCTTGAGTGTGGTCTCAAATCTCCCTCTCCTTTCTCTTTTCTCACCTTGTGAGTGAGCCCTAACCCTCACACTTGTCACTGACCTGCACCTCCAACCCCTCAGCGGAGTGCAGACCGTGTCTTCTGAGCAGGCTCCTCCCGTCCTTAGCAGTGAGTGATCTCAGGGGCGGAGAACCTTCCGGGTGCAGGAGTCAGCCTGGAGCACTGAGGCGCCTGACAGTGCTTTGCAGCTTGTCACTGCCCTCCAAGATGCTAGAGTCACTTCAGAGATGAGGAGGCAAATGCTAAATGAGTTCCTACTGACCAGCCTGGGCCCCAAGTCCAGAGCATACGAGGCTAGCTGTTAGTGCCCTCCCCACCAACCTGGCCACACCGGCCCAGCCATGGTGTCAGGGCCATCCTGCCCTGCGGGACTCAGTTAGGGACTCAGCTCAGTCTCTCCCAACAGTGCTGGGTATCAGGGCAGCTTCCTTCCTCAAGGGAAGACTTCAGGCCCGGTGATGGCGGTCACCTGCCTCCCATGCCTTCTCCAGGACAAATTCTCTGCTTCTCACCCCCTCCTTGGAAAGGGGACTCCAGGGCCTGCCCCCCAGGAGGCTTTCCGGCCTCTCTGTGCCCAGTCTACAATGTCAAGCATGTGGTGGGACCTTGGGTCATGAGGCAGCTGGGGAGGGTGACTTTGGAGCAGTGTCCTAGTGCCATGCCCGAGTCAGCTGCACTGGGGTGTGGACTGTGTCTGCCCTTGAGGTGACAGTCTCTGCCCAGGGACAGAGCCCACGGGTGCCCTGCCCAGTGTCTGGTTGTTGCCCTCTGTGGCTGGTACAAGCTTGACCCATCCGGGGCACTCCTGGGCGGAGGCCAGAGCTCCAAGAGTCACCTGCCACAATTCAGAGACAATGTCACACTTTGGAAATGGAAAAGGGGAAAGAACCAAAAAGACAACCACCAGCAAAGGGTGGGGAGGCTGAGGAGCAGCGGGCAGAGTCACGGCAGCGGGCGAGGGCAGCTGGCTAATGGAATTGGGGTGGGCGTGGGGCCACGTTAGGACTGGACAGGCAGGAGAGGGATAGAGGGGCCACCTGCATGCTCCCACAGACATCTGGAGGCACCAGGCAGCCTCTCCGGAGGACACGGGGCCTTCGGCTGGGTGTTCCAGGTGGACACGCTGCAAGCGGCCCTGGAACGGACCAGGGCACATGCAGAGCAGTGCAGTCTCCCTTCTGTCAAATGGGGCAAGGGCTGTCACGGGAGGGCTGGGTGCACACAGCTGCCCCCAGCACTCCTTAACGACCGAGCATGCCCCTGGGGCTTCCTAATGCCCACCAGTGGGCCTCTGGGGCTGTTGGTCCCCTTGGGGTGTTTCCTCTGCCTTCTGTGGGTCCCTGTATTCCTGAGAAGTTCTGGATCCAACGGGCTGGGCTTGGGGGACAGCCAGGGCAGGACAAGGTCTCCTACCTCGGACAGCATCCTCCCCACAGCCTGGCCCGGTGGCCTGGCAAGCCCCTTCCCCATTCTGCTGCCCTCCAGGGGACTGGAGAAAGTTGGCAAGGAATCCCGCTCTGCGGAGTGACCTTAGCTAACACCAGCACAACTCCAGCCTCTCCAGGAGCTTTGGCTTCAGAGCTAGGGATGGAGGCATTGTTCGTGTGCCCTGGATGGGTCCAGCAGGGTGTGCAACTGGTCCCCACCACCAGCCCCTGGCAGGAGGCCTCTGTGCTGAAGATGCCCCCAGCCTGTGAAGTGAGGGATCAGGACCTGGAAGGCACCTGAAGATGTCTCCTTCAGGCCCTGGGGACCTGGGAGGGAAGAGACTCACCCAAGGCCACCTGGCCAGCTGTGCCAGGCACGCCAGCCCTGATCTGTGCCTCCAGACGCTGCATCCCCTCCAAGGTGACCGAGGCTCCCCCAGCCCCAGGAACTGGTTCCTTGGGCTTCACCCCAACCCCAGAGCCACGTGATCCCACCCCCCCCATGCGGTCCCCCCCCTTTGGTGCCTGCCTCTCCCGCCCCCATGTTCCCCGCAGGAAGGGGTTCCTATGGCACCCCTTCCCCCGCACACACTTAGCTCACTGGCAGCCATCTGCCCCGAGACAGAGCAGCAGATGCTTCGATGCACAGCGGTGCCTGAAGCATGGCCGGCCCAACGCCTGCAGCGGAGGTGAGCGCTGCCAACCTGGGCAGGGGCTGCAGCCCCCAGAGCACTTGGCCCAGGTGGGGGCGCCATATCCAGGCAAGGTCAGGTGGTTGAGGTTACCCAGATGGTGACCTCAGGGCTAGGGACAAGGGTTATGGCAGGGCTGGAGTCAGTGCAGCACCCTCTTCTACTCCGCTGGGGTGGGGGAGTCAAGGGGGGGTCCTCTGCAGAAGCTACCCCTTGGGCTGCAGGACTGTGCAGCTCCCTGATGCCCTGGGGCAGGCCCACAGTGTAGGGGTGCTTCCCCCAGCCCAGCAACACTCTGGACCAAGAAGGAGGCTGGTGGGCCCCAGAAGCCTGCAGCACCACCACTGCACAGAGCGCATGCTGAGGCTGGCCGAGGGGTGTCCCCAGGCAGCACTCCCCTCAGCAGCTTGAGCACGTGCCTGTCACGCTCAGGCCACGCTCCTCAGCCCTTGTCCCTCATCCCCCACTCATCCGACCACATGGCGGGGGCAGGTGGCCACTGCGCCTGAGCCACCAGCCACTTCCGGGATGCATGTGGCCAGCTGTTGAAGAGGCCTGGTTTCCACAGCAGCAGCCTTCAGCCCTGGGTCAGGAGGTGAGGCCTTCGAGGGAACCCAGAGTTTCCTCAGGGCGACGGCCTCTCCTGCCCCTAGGGCCTTTTCTCAGCTCTGCTCTCCCCAGCCCCAGGAGCAGGTGGCTGAGGGTCCCTGGGGAGCCTGGGGCAGGGCAGGGTCTGAGGTGAAAGCCCTGGTGGGCTGCAGTGCCCCCACCCCAATATGGGGCCTACTGCTGAGCCTAGAGCCCCAGGGACGTGGTTTGACATTAGGCAGAACGTCCTGATTGCAGAGAATTAGAACATCGGAAGGACCCACGGGGGCGGGGGCTGCTGGGGCCGCTTAGGGCCTCCTGGGTGTTCGTGGCCCCTGGCCCAGCATTCAGTGTGAGGAGGCGGGAGAGGGTGGGAGGGTCTCCGAGGCAGCTGAAGCCTGGGCCGGGGATGGACAGACAGCCTGCTGCCCAAGGCCCGCTTGGGGATACTCACTCCAGAAGCCTCTGAGAACCCAGAGCGGCTCGAAGCCCCACAGCCTCCTCAGTCCAAGCGGCCTCCCTCCTCCCAGTGCCCTTGGGGCGGGCGTGTGTGAGTGCGTGCGCCCGCCCCCAGCCCGCCCCCAGCCCGCCTCCGCTCCCTGTGCATCTTGCCTTTCTTGTGCTTCGGCAGGGCTGGAATGGGGACGTGCTGCACTGTCGATTGGCAGCTCCCTCCAACCCCCCGTGGAGGCGCCATATGTCGGTGTCATGAACAGGCAGGCGGGGGGCGGGGGGCTGGAATGTGGCAGCTGCCAATCACTGCCTTTGTAGATCAGGGTGGGGCAGCTACCGCACGGGGGCGGGGGGTCCCACGAGCAAAGCCACAGGGGAGGGTGGGTCAGGAGGGTATGGTCACCAGGGTGGGATGCATCCCAGGCATCCAGAGGGCCTTTTCTGAAAGCAAAACAAAACCCAAACAGGCGTTGGCATCGATGAACTGGAGAGGTCAGAGCCTGCCCTCTGTCCCTGCCACCCAAGTGCCCGCTGATCGGCCTAAGCCTCCCCAGGACGCCTGTCCACCTCTGGACTCTGCCCTGGGTATGTTCTGTCTGGGCCTTCACCAGGGAGTCGCGGCCACACCTGCACCTGCGGTGAGGGGAGGGGCGGCAGGACCGAATTCAGCAGCAGCTGCCACAGGCCGCCGTTCATTCTCACAGTGCCCCGAGGAGCCTGGGCTGCGAGGAACCTCAGCTCCTGAAGAGCTGCTCACACCAGGACACAGACACCTGCCTGCATAATTGTCCTGTGGCGCTGTCCCAGTCCCTCTCGGGCCCCCATTCAGGCGGGTGACTGTGGAGAGAATGATCAGAGAGCTGCAGGGCCAGGACAGGGTCCTGAGGCTCATGGCGGCGGAAGCTAGCAGCCATTCTTGGGATGGAGGCCTAGCCTTGCTCTGGGCTCCACAGGCCCTTTCCCTTTCCTCATTCCCGGCTCTGCTGGAGGCTGAATCTGGATCAAGTTGACCGCTCCAGGTTAATTGGCTTTCTCTCCCTGCCAGCATGACGGATCCTGCCTGACATTTCCCCAGATAGTTAATTGATACCCGAGTAATTTGTCATGGAGACCTCGTTATATGCCAAGTGGGTCCCCTAAGCCGTTAGCGTCTGTGCCCCAGAAATAAGATTGGCAAGTTAATAATGGAGCCTTAATCACACTGTTCCCTGCTGGTTTGGGGAGAGAATTACTGGGAGACAGGGCGGGGTGCCGGTGGGAGGAGACAATGGCATCCTAGGACCTTGTGGATGAAGCTTCATGGGACCCCAAAGCCACTGCCCTTTCTGCAGAACCCCAGCCTTAGTTTCCTCACTGAGGTGTAACTTCTTTGGGCAACAGTGCTTTGATTTCCCACTGAGAAATCCCCCGCCCCACGAGGTTGCTGAGGTTGACTCCAGCCCCTGCCTCTGGCCTGGGTCTTGGTGTCCCCCACCCTCGCCTAGGCCAGAGCAGTGTGCTCAGGGAAGGCTCATGACTTAGCTGAGGCAGTAGCTGGTGCCTTCTGGATAGAGCAGCACCTGGGCCTGGAATCATGGGATGGGAGAACTTGAGCCTGAGCTGCTGCTGGCCACTGAGCCCCCCGTGAGGGAGGACCTGAGGGCCAAGCACTCAGAGCAGCCAGGCCACAGAGGGCCACCCCAGCCTGCAGTGAACCATCTGGACCCCTTTTGCGTCCAGTGGGTTCTGTCTTGTGGCTCGGCCCACATACCCACATGCTATTACTCTAGGATTTGCCCATCAGAGAGCCTGGGAGGAGGAGAACGTGGGACAGAGGCCAGCCCTGGCCTGGCCCTGGTGACTCTGTCCTCAGGGGCCACTGCCTCTGCCAGGACAGAAGCAGATGAGCAGTGAACTGGAGGAGAGGTCCCCAGGGCCAACCTTGGCTTATGCACCAAGGGCAGCAGCGGTGCCAGCCTGTGGATACGGGCTCACTAGTGACCGTGTGCTGATGGCCTGGCCGCAGCCTGTGGTACTACGGGAGGTGGTGGAGCCTCTAGGAGGTGGCCTCTGGGGGAGGCCTTAGACTGCTGGGCTGTGCCCTAGAAGGAGACTCTGGGACCCTGGACTCTTGCTCTCTTTTGCTTCCTGATGGCCGTGAAGTGAGCAGCCTGGCTCCTCACCACAGGCCGGAAGCAGTAGGGCCAGGAAGCCACAGACTGAAGCTTCTGAAAGAGCGAGCTGAAGTAAGCCAGCCCTCTCGTTAAGACGATTCTCTCAGGTGTGTTGTTGCAAGACGAGGAGGCTAACCCAGGCCACCTCGGCGCCACGCAGTGCGCCTGGTCTCATCATCTTCACTTCTCACGCAGTGTTAGAGCGGGGAACATTCAAAACGGAGGACTGCACGGGACGCGGGAAGGAAAGCACTCAACCCAGGAGAGGAGGAAGGGCAGCCCCAGGCAAAGAGTCAGCCAGGGCAGGCCCGTGCCGAAGAAGGGCTTTGCGCACTTAGCTTCCGCTGTGTAACAAATCACCCAGGGACAGAGATTTATTCTCACACAATTCCTGAGAGTCACAGACTTGGAAGCAGACTAGCTGGGGGCTCTGGGTCAGGGTATCAGGAGGCTGCAGTCAAGATGACAGCCATGCTGGGCATGGTGGTGCAGGCCTGTAAGCCCAGCTACTTGGAAGGCTGAGGCAGGAGGACTGCAAGTTGAAGGCCAAGTTGGGCAACTTAGCCAGCCTTATCTCAAAATAGAAAGGCCTGGAGATGTCGCTCAGCACTTCCGAGGTTTGACCACCAGTGCTGGGGGATGAGGGTGGGCGGGGGAGATAATACTCAGGCTGCAGTCATCCCAGGTCTGACCAGAGCTGGAGGACCTGCTCCTAAAACGGCGCCCTCACCTGGCTCATGGCAGGGTGCTGGCTCTCCATCACGTGGACCTCTTCACCAAGCAGCTGACGACCTGGCCGCTGACTTCTCTCAAAATGAATGAAGCCAGGCGTGGTGGTGCCCTCTGGGAGGCTGAGGCAGGAGGATGATGACTTTGAACCCAGCCCGAGCAACTTAGTGATTTAGTGAGGTCCTGTCTTACAAAAGGTAAAAAAGGCTAGAGCTAGAGCTCAGTATGAAGGGCTTGCATTCAGTCCCCACTCACACACACACGCACACACGCATGGAAAAAAGACATGGAGGGAGAGAGAATGCCACCAAGACTAAAGCCACGTGTTCCCTGACCTAAACGTGGGACTGCCACACCATTGCCGCTGCCACCCTCCACTGGCTGTGTCGACCAATGCTGGTGCCACGGGGCAGGGCAGGGGCTTTTCTGGGCCGTCTTGAAGGCCGCTGCCACAGGCTCCAAGAAAAAACAAACTCATCAATAGCCTGATGTTTTCAACATACCAAGGGGAGATTTATATTCCATTTTATTCCACTGCACGGTTTAGGAATAAATAAGTAATGGGTACATTGAAAATAAACCAACCCCTCCCCACAGCCAAGGCAATTATTCAGTCTAGGACAAACAAGAGGTTGTCTAAGCAAAGCAATTACAACCCAGTACTCAGCTGTGACTAGTGTACACAAGGAAATAATCCACATACACTGTCTTCTGAGGGCCTGCAGTGAGATGGTTGGAAGTGTGTGTGTGTGTGTACATGTGCCCCTGCCTGTATGGGGGCTGCTGTTAGAGAACAAATTTTCAATCCTCATAGCAGGAAGTCAATGGGTAATTTCTAAATCTGAAAAAAGCGATATTAGCATGCTATTTAGAAGTAAATATCAAAAGAATCAGCTACAACGACAGAAAAGCTAGCCCGAGAGAAGGAGGAATCAGAGTGCGGTGGGAGGGAAAGGAGGTACTGTTTTCTCACTACAAGCCTCACAGAACTGTTTGATTATCCAAGCTATGCGCATGGATGACTTTGATTAGAAAAACATATAAATGAAACCGGTGTAACTGAAAACAAAACTCCAAGCATCCAAGCTCCCCGCACTCCCAGCTCCACCAGGCCCTGCAGCTCCCTGGGCAGGCAAGGCCTGAGCCCTCGCTCTGGCCTCCTTCTTCCCTCTCCCCATCCCAGGTCTTTCTCTCCTCCTGTCCATCTCGAGCTTTGTCTCCCTCTCCCGGCCTGCCTCACCTTCCCTGCCCACTTCCCAGCATCCGCACGCCAGGGTGGGGAGGACCCGGACAAAGGGCAGGGGCTGTTCTGGAGGGGAGGGGCGGCCATGTCTGCAGGGCCTGCGCTGCCCCCACTCGCCCTCCTTGGGCCACCCAGGCACCAGGGAGCCGACGGAGCCGAGCCGCCCGGCTGCAGGGAGGGCCGTGAATGGGGAGAGGCTGTGCGCCATCATTCCGGGACACCTCCCCAATCACCCCACACGCCAGTCACCTGGCTGTCAGCGCTGCCACGCGCCTTTGCCTTTAATTGATAATCAGGTAAAACTCCACACAGGACCTGGCCAGGGCAGTGCAGCTGGGACTGCGAGGCTGGGCTGCCGCCAGGCGGGTGACCAGGCTGGTGACCTGTTCCTCCCTGAGAGACTGCAGCTGGGAGCTGAGGGCAGGTGGGGGCTTCCGCCGCTAGGGCACAGCCCGGGAGAGGAGGCAGGCCAGGCCTGGGCTCTGGCGCAGACGCCCTCCTGCCCCAAAGCCCACAGCTCACTCTGGAGACGCTGATGCCACTGACGGAGAGGCACACACGTGACGCGCCGTGGGCAAGCACACAGCCTGCAGGGGTGGGCCTCTCTGGGCTGCCTTGAGCACACCACAGCACCAGGGTGGCCCCACTCGGGAAGGCGGACAGCTGGGGGCCTGCGGTGGGGAGTCCTGAGGGGCAGGGTGTGAGCCAGAGGCCAGGCCAAACCACCTCCTGAAAGCCCCGTCTTCCCAGCTGCAGGCGGGGGCACGCTGGGAAGGGGCACGGACACCAGCAGGTGAATGGCAAGATCGATTTGGATCCCACCTGAATTATTAAGAGCTTCAAGAATATTCTTAGTGCCAGTGAGCCGTGTTCTGCCGAGATGGCCCTCACCGCAGCCCTATTTTTAAGGCTCTGTGGGAAGGAGCTAAGGCGCCACTGCACTTAGGGCCCCCAGAGGGCCCCTCTGCCCCAGCACTGACGCCTCACACCTGTCACCGTCACCAGGGGACCTGGGCCCTCCGCCTACCCCTCCGTCTGTGGCCCCTGGGCCCTCGTACCCTCCTTCCTCGGCCCTGCCCAGCCCCTCACAGATGGGGAAATGGCCCAGCTGGCCCTGGGGGTCATCACTGCCTACTACCGAGGGAAGGGCCGGGGTCTCTGAGAGCTGAGGAGATGCCCTCCACTGCTCAGCGCTGGCGTGGCATTAGCGTGGCCATTAGCAGTGAGGTCGGGGGCCTGTGGCACAAGGCCTGCACCCTCAAGCTAGGCTTCAGTTAGTGCCTATGAGGTTCAAGAGCAGCTCGCATTGAACCCCAGCCCTGCGGGAGCTTCCTGAGAAGAGCCGTGCCCTTCCTACGTCCTCCAGTCCTTGCTCTTTGGGCCGCACGCCCCAAAGTCAGGCCCCATCTGAGGACTTGGATGTGGGTCTGCATCGCTGGTCCTAAGGCTGGGGAGAGCCAGGGAAGGCCGGTGGTGGATGTGGTCTGAGGTGGGCCCTCTGAACCCTGGGTGGGGCTGCCCTCCATTGCCCATGGGTCAGGTCACCCAAGAAGCACTCAAGCCTCGCCACACAAGCCTCACCCAGGAAAAGGTCACGGGGAACATGCAAACCAAACTGACAGTGCAACACTGCTCTGTGCCTCCAGGATGGCTGGAATGCAAAGGACAGACAGTGATGAGTTGACCTGGACTCGGGGAAACTGGCACCTTTGTGCACACTTGTGCTGGCGGGCGGGGCTGTAATGTGGTGCAGCCACTGTGGAGAACATTTTGGTGGTTTTTTCACATCCTCTCCTAGCTGTGAACTCAACAGCTGTAGTTCACCAGAACTGAAACGTGGTCACACAAACACTCGTCCACAACACTCATAGCAGCATTACCCACCGTAGCCCCCAAACAGCAACAACCCAAATACCCACCACCTGAAGTGCGGAGAGCCAAGATGTGGTAGATCCAAGCAGCGGAGTATTAGTCACAAAAAGGAGCTAAGCACAGCAAGTGCCGACTTACAACAGAGTCCCGTTTGTAATCCAACAGAGCAAGTCTCATATGGTACACCTGCGAAAGTTCGAGACGCTGATCTTCCCAAGTCAGGGACTTACTGTGCCAACACATGGCACAACACAAACCTTGACACATCCGGTAAGTGTTCGAGGCCGGATTCCATTTACACTCGGTGCCTTTGAGTGAGCTCATCCAGAGGCAGGAAGCAACCAGGGGCTGCCAGGATCTGGTGGGAGGGGACACACCCAGGGGCTGCTGACAGGGGTTTCCCTTTGGGGTAATGAGAATGCTCTGGAAGTAGACAGTGAAGATGGTGACAGACTGGATGTTCTTGTTTATTTTTGTTTTTTATTTTATTTTTTTATTTTTGGTACCAGGGATCGAACTCGGGTCCTTGCACTTTCGAGGCAGGCGGCAGAACCACTGAGCTAAATCCTCAGCCCTATTTTTGTTTTTTAGACAGGGTCTTGCTGTTGCCCAGGCTGGCCTTCATCTCTGGGGCTCAAGTGATCCTTGCATCTTAGCCGAAGTAGCTGGGACTACAGGTTCACACCAAAATGCCTGGCTAGAAAAAGCCCATGAACTGCACACTTCAAAACAAATGAAATGGTGAATTTAATCTCAAAAATTATCCACATAAAAGTTGTCTGCAGGGCAGGAGAGGTGACTCAGTGGCAGAGTGCGTGCCTGGTGTGCACAGGCATTGGGTTCCATCCCCAGCACCGCAAAACAAAAGGTTTATCCACAAGCCTCCCTCGAGGCTCCGGCCTGCTCCTCACTGTGGGAGTGAGCGGGCTGGGCGGACCTCTTGCAGCTGCTGGCTGTGGCCACAGTGTGAAGATCCCGTCCCCACAGGAGGGGCACGGCCTTCTCTGCCTGTCTCACACTTGAAGCTGCCCCTCTGTTCATGGGGTCTACAGTGTGCTGAGCAGTGTGGGGCCACCACTACCGAGCTCTCCTGCTGGAACTGGGGGGACAGAAGGGGAGAGCAGGACCCCACCCCAGGTTGGCCGGTCTTGCCTGTCCAGCCCTAAACGGAGTGCAGCCAGGCATGCCCCCAACCTGTAGTTGGGTGGTGGGAGAGAACTCTGACCTGGTTTCTTCTCATCCCAGTTAGCATGGCCATCAGCCCAGGTCTCTCTGAGTCCCACTTTTCTAGACTAATGGCTTCCCTTCATCAAGGGACCACCGTGTGCCAGTCGCTGTGCTAAGCCCCTTATGTATGTCACCTCTTGGGACCTCCCCAGCCCCAGGGAGGGAGGACAGGCATTATCGCCACCTGACAGGCATTTCACCCAAAGCCCCAGTGAGAGACAGCTGGATCCCAGCCAGCCTTTCTCCGCCTTAGCCCTGCACTTCCAATGCCAAGCCCTGGTCCTCTGGAGCTCTGAGAGGGAAAAGTCTGGAAGCAGTTAGGAGGGCAGCTGGTGGGGCCAGCTGTGAGCCCTCCAGCCCTGGCTTCAGTGGGGATGCAGGGAGCCCCAGGCGTGTGTTTGTGTAGGCTGGGCTGTGCTCCAGGACCCCACCACTGGGGCATCTGCTGCTCCCTCTCCTGGGTACACCCCAGGGAGGTGGGCAGAGGGCTTCCTCTGAGAAAACAGGTTCTGAGCAAGAGCCAGAGCACTCCACCTCAGATGGGCTTGGGTGGGAGGCCTGGCAGCTCAGTCTCATATATATAGACACACACACACACACACACAGACACACACACATCCCTTGGGACCATTCCTGGGGCTGGCTACCATCCTGAGGCTGGAGTAGAAGGCCTACAGTTGGAGTCTTCATGGTGCCCAGGTCCCGGCGACTGCCAGGCCCTGCCCTGCTGCTCCCAGCAGCCCAGCTGTGTGGCTTCCGGGTCTGCCCCAGGGCCTCTGCTGAGGTCCTCAGGGTGCCTGCCCTCTCCTGCCAGCCCTGCCGAGCCTCCTTTGGGGTGTGCCTTTGGCCTCGGTCCCTTCTGGCTCCTGCAACAACATGGAGAAGAGGGTAGCCTCAAAAGGGTCCGGAGCCAGTCCGGACAGCCCTATCCCCTAAGAGCTCCTGGAAGGGCTGCTGACAGGCATGGGCCAGAGAGCTGGACAGAACTCGATGGCCAACCGGACAGGTCCGCCTTGACTCAGGCTGGCCAGTCCAACGCTGTGAAGCGGGGTTCCCGGTGGCCTTCCCCTCAGTTCTCAACGCAGCCTACCCAGGCCCGGGAACAGCTGCTGGCTGCAGGGGAAAGGGGTGGAGGAAGCACAGCCCTTGAACAGGAGTCTTAGGGGGTGAGGAGCTCCGGAGGCAGAGCTTGGAATCCACGCCACGTTCCACACCCTGCTCTGCCCCTTCCCAGTGTTCCGGGCCTCGTGTTCCTCATCTGCAAAGCAGGATCACGGTGCCCGCTCCATGCAAGGCCGCTACCAGGGTAGGCGAGTCCGAGCCCCGCACGGTCAGCTGAGGCTCTCTGCCAGGCAGTCTCACTCCACCTCAGAACCCGGAAGGGAAAGACTTACTCTTGCCTGTCTTGCCCAGGACACTGAGGCTCGGAGTGCAAGACAGGCAGGCTGTGTGGGGCTAGGCTATGCTGGGTCCGCTTAGGGAAAGTGCACAGGAAAGGCGGCAGCGGCCCTGCTGGGAGGTAGGCCTCAGACCAGATGGCCATGGGGTCGTGATTCTGGAGAGGCCCCGCCAGGTGCGAAGCCCATACCCTCCCTCCCCGTCAGGGACCTCTCCTAGCCAGGCCCAGCCCAGCCCCGTTGGTCCTGAGCCACAACACTAAGCAGGAAGAGGCTGCCCATGGGCATCCTAAGACTCCCTGGTGCTCACCTCTCCTGCCCTGGTACAGGTGGCCCAGAGTGTCCCAGAGTCCTGCGAATGTACTCGCGAGAGCGGATGTCAGCCTGGAGGAAACAGACAGCTCGGGTGAGAAGTGGTGGGCCCTCAGCTGGCCTCCAAACAGGCTGGGAAATGCCTTCATATCCTCCACACGAAGCCCACTTGGGTCCCCTTAGCTTCTGCAGCCCCGAGGATGTGTGGGGGTGACAGGGGTGCCAAAACCCTCAGGGCTGGGGACCTGCCGCTGAGGCTGGTGGGTGCATGGGCTGAGCAGGCGTCCTGTGGCTCAGCTGCTTGGCTTCCCTTGGGCTCACAGCTCCTTCTTCTGGGGAGGTTCTGCCCTGAGCAGGGAGGACTCAAGCTGGCCAGTCTGCCCTCACTCAGGTCACTTTCTGTCTCTCTGGCTAGTGTTGGTTGTGATTCTGCCTGTCTCCTCAAGTTCTGCAGAATTACTGAGAAAAGGGGGCTCAGGGGCCGCAGGTGGGGACAGACATGGAATGGGGTCATGCTGTGTAGGACATTCCCAGAGGGCCTGGCCTCAGGAAGTCCCCTGACCCCAGCTCAGATGGGTTTAGCTTAGCTTCAGGCTGCATGACACACTGACAGCAACAGCTAATCCCGAGGCTCCTGCTTCAGCTCATGGGGCCGCGGGTGGGTAGGCAGAAGGGTATCCTGAGGCAGCAGCCCAGCCTGGCAGGAGAGACCGGACCTGGCACAGGGAGTGCAGCAGCACTTGTGACCAAGGGGTCCCTTGGAAGCCCAGGGCTGTGCCAGAGCAGAGGGTAGGGAGGCCTCAGATGTCACACCATGAGGGCACAGCCAGCCTTAGCCCCATCTCTCCCACCCTCCAGGAACTTCTGGTGGGGAGCAGGGAGGGTCAGCGCTGAGGTGAGTGGGCCCAGGATGAAAGCGGACTGAGCTGCCGGCCCTGCAGCCCCTCCCCAGCGGGCAGAAGCGGGCTCCAGGTGGCACGCAGCCCACGCCCACTGGCGTTTCTGTGGAGGGTGGGCTGATTTGGCCAGCTCTTCTGCAGCACCAGGCATATGATTCTGCCCCACCTCTAGGTGTTCAGGGAGCTGGCCCCTAACCTGCAAAGGCAGAGGGCCAGAGTCCTGCAGGTCTAGGACAGCACAGCCAGGGTTCCTGGGCCTCGGGGTCCCTGGGGTTTTCTCATTAGGCCACGGGCGAGGGGATGGAAGCAGAAAGGCCTCCTGGGGTGGGGAGCCCACGCACCTATGAGCCCAGCGGCACCCTGGGCAGGGAGGATGAGACCGCGGGGCTGTTGCCGGATGCCTATAAGCTGCTGAGAGCCGCCTCTGGGCACGGCCACCCTGCGTCTGTGGGCTGCTGCCGCCACCTGGAGGCTGCCCTGGATCCCTGGATGTGTGGGGGGGAGGTGGGATGGAGGTGCGAGGGCCACAGGGTCAGAGCCCACCGGGCTGCAGAGTCCCCGGGACTGCAGTTGGGGCTGGGGGCGGGCTTCTCAGCCGAGTCCAGCCTGTGGCCCTCGGTGGGTGGCTGTGGGGCCAGAGTGGGCCAGGGAAAGGGCAGGCAGCTGGGAGGCTCAGGCCTCTGCCCCACCTCTCAGCACAGCAGAGGGCTCCAGGCCCGGATAGGGACAGCAACTCCCAAAGCCCCAGCTGCTTCTGTGGCACAGGCGCGTCTGGGTGTCCGGCCGCGTATGCACAGCCCTCAGCTGCCCGTCTCTGCGGGGAGGCTTCAGACAAAACTGACTCCCACCCATCCCACCCCTCCTGCCCTGGCTGCGTGTCTCAGGTACACCAAAGCCCTCCCTACCCCAGGCCTCACAGATGCTGTTCCCAAGTCTGGACTGCCCTTCCCCTCTTCCTGGACCCCTGCCCTGTGTGCTGCTCTGGGACATACACCAGCACGTCGTGGGGCTCCCCTCAAGGCCGAGCGCTGTGGGCAGCTCCAGCTCCCTTGCCTGCAGGCTGTGTTCCTGCAGGCTCCACTGAGCTGACTGGCTCATCAAAGTGCTGGTCTCCTGGGCCTCAGCCTACACCCTGGAGTCCTCACTGGGGCTCCTGGCACCAGCACAAGCCTTCGCCAGCACCACCCTCCTGGTGGAGGAGGGCCGCTCCCTCTGAGCAGGTGAGCTGAACGGGGACTGCTACCTGAGCTGACACCAACTGGTTCTCCACGCAATCTGGTACTCGGGTGCAGCAGGCTCAGCGAGGTGGAGTGTGGGCCAGGCGAGGCCAGCTGGCTCTCTGGCAAGGAGCCTGGGGCCTGTCCTCAGCCCAGGACCATCCTGACCTCACATCACTGCTCCATGATCCCACTGGGGCTGACAGGCAGCAGGTGAAGATCAGGGGCAAGGAGCACAGAGGAGCTGGGCCAGTCCCCAACCTGCCACCCACCACAGGCGCCCCCACCACCTGGCGCACGGGCTCCGGGACCCGGAACCTGCAGCAGCAACGGGTCAGGCGCACAGCTGCCTCCAGGCTTATCTTGTGGCCCACGGAGACGTACAGGGGCTTGGTGCTGTGATCGTGGCTCTTCAGGGCCTGCGGACGGAAGGTCAGGTCAGCACTGTGGGGACACACCCCTGTGGGGTCAGGACCAGCCAACATCTCAGGTAGCAAGCGGGGACTGGGGCATGCAGGGTGCTTTCGGACGCCAGCCCCCAGGTACCTCCCTGCTGCCTGTCCTGTGCAGAGTGGGGTGAGTGTGGCTGAGGTCCCCTCAGCTTCGCTGGGGTCAGAGGAGGAAATAAACACACACATCACATCAGCTCCGTGGCTGGTGAGAGAGGCAGGAAGACGTGGAGAGGTGAGTGGATCTTGTGTACATGTGTGCGTGCGTGTGCGTGTGCATGCGCAGGGGTCCACTGCCTAGCTGTCCTTCCTCTGTGACCTGGAGCCAGGGGAGACAGAGGCCTCAAAGCACTCACCATTCCCAGGACAGTCCCAGAGCTGCCTGTCAGAGGAAACACATCTCCTCCAGCCCGCAGGAGCCGAATCTGGGGAACAGGGGAAATAAACTTGTAAGAAATATCTTCTAGGGCTGGGGCGTAGCTCAGTGATGGATGCTTGCCCAGCATGAGCAATGCCCTGGATTTGATTCCTAGCACTGCAAAAACAAAAACAAACCTTTCCTTGAAGGGCTGAAGGAATGCCTCTTCATTTTGAAAACCCAGTCACAAGCCAGACTCAGGTGGGAGCCGTGCCAGGAAGGCCACACCCCCGAGGCAGTACTGAGCAGGCTGGGTAGCAGCATGCTCAGGGCTTGTGTGGAGGGCACTGCCTACAGGACCCCACTAACCTGACAAAGGTGCTGAGGAGGCACAGCGGCCCTCCCAGGCCCACAGCACTGGCCAGCTGAGCCATGGGCTGGGGCCCCACAGGTGCTGCCCCTGGACAGCACGCCTTAACCAGGGCTCTGACCACCACTTTGTTGTTGCTTCCTCTCCTGCTAGGAATCTGGGCACATTAGAGTCAAGTCAATAAACTTTTCTGGGGGTAGGCGGAGTGAGTCAGGGCTGAACCAGCAGTTGGGGACCCCATCAACTCAACAAACATTTACTGAGCAACCAGCCCATGGAGAGAGACACATACACAATCTCTGCTCTTGGAATATGCTGTCCAATAGGAGAGCGGGGATGTCACCAGCTCCCTCTGGATAGGGACATCATGCCCCCAGTGCCAATCCCAGGCTCTGAGGAGGGAGACGGTGAGGAAGGGGGTGGATGCCAGCTCCAGGCAGGCCTTGGCCAGAGTGGGCATCTAGAGGGCAGAAGGCGCTGCAGGCATGGTCTAGAGGCTGGAGGACTAACCCTAACCCTACACATTTACTGCAGCAGCACAGAGGTGAGGTACGTGTGATATGGAGGCTTGGAGGGATGCTGGGGCACAGTGGTCAGGGCCACGTGGACAGGAGGCTTCTAGAAAAAGCAGGCCAGGATCCAGGATGTGGGGAGTGGTCAGCAGGCAGACTGGGCAGAGATGCCCAGGGACAGTGATGGCGAACCTTTTAGAGCTTGTGATGATAACGAACAGCGGGCTGTGGCATGTGTGCCATAGATTCGCCACCACTAGCCTGGGAGGTACCCCTGAGGCCCTACCAGGCACCCATCACCGCCCATGGGCCCTTACCTTCTCCTTGTGCGCAGCGCTGTTCTCCAGTCCGTCCACCTGTAGGAGTTTCTTGGCCACCCCGATGCAGGGCAGCTCTGTGAGGATGCCAAGGTGGCAGGCCACCCCGAAGCCTGCCAGGGAGCAGGGGAGAATAAGCTGGGCCAAACTGGAACCCTGCCGCCTGCAGACTGGCAGAATGCTGGGGAAGCAGACTTGGAGGCCCAAGCTGACCCTGGGCAAGGTCCTGTCTACCCCGACTTCACTGCTGCTCTAGGGCCGCAACCTGAGGGCAGTGGCCAGGACCCCACATGTGCTGCCAGGAAGGCCAACAGGTCCCACTTCCCTCAGACACCCTTCTGGGGGCTGCCACAGTTTGGATGAGGGTAAAGCAGCCCTATCAACTTCAGCACCCTCCCTGGGCCAAGGCCTGGGCCCTGGTGGGAGGTAGGGCTCCTGCACAGTGTTGGACAAAGGTCTGCCTGGAGGGCGCAAGGGAGGCGGGAGGGAGAGGGCGCTACTCTAAGTGGGGCCCTGTGACTTCTCACAGATGTGAGGTCAACACTGGGTGGTGGCACCTCCAGATGGGCCAGTGTAGAGTGTCTTGGGGGAGCAGAAGGGGCAGGAAGATGTGGGGGTGAAGAGAAGGCAGAGCTCTTTCCTGGGTGAGGGACACTGTGCATCCTGACAGTGAAGATCAGCCCAGACAGGAGCTGCGAAGGAGCTCAGTGTGGTGGGCATGGGAGGTACCCTCTCCCGCCTTTCCCCCAGCGCCTTCCCCGACCGTCTCTGGGGAGCAGGATTACCTCGGTGGTGGAGCACCCCGTTTCCATCCACAAGAAGGACCTAGAGCCACAGGGGTCATGGTCAGCTGAGGTGGCCGTCACGGCAAGCAGGGGAAGGGCAGACACCTGGCATTGGGGTGCAGCTTTTTAGCGAATCCCCCTCCTCTCAGGCTATGGCTGATGGTGGCCTACAGGGCCCTCCCTTCCCCTCCCCTCGGTGGTCAGCGGCACCCTCTGGCCCAGGGTCATGGCACCTGCCTGGGGCATGAGGCTTGGCTCCTTCTCTTGCAGCTGCCGCACCGCATCTACCAGGAAGGGCACCTCTCGGAAGGCCAGGAAGCCTGATATGTAGGGGGCCGTCAGGCTGATCATGCGGCTCTCCTCATACACCACCTGCCACCAGGCATGCGGGTCAGCAGGCAGCCTGTGGCCACCCGCTCGCTCCCACCACCCTATCACCCTCTGCCCCACCCACGATCCACTTTTCTGCCTATGGACTACTGGCTGGGGGCTTTCACTTTGATGTCATTTCAGAGGTGCTCAATCGGGACCTAGTGTGAGGTGAGTGTCCTCCACCTGGTCTCTCTCAGGAGCCAGCCTTCCCCAGCCCCTCCTCCTTCACTGGGCCCTGCACAGGCTGCTGGAGGCTCAGAGACAGCACAGGACAGCACTAGTGTGAGGAGCACCAGGAGCCGAGGCAGCACTATGTGTGCATTAGAAAGGACCAGAGGAGGCCAGTCAGAAGCTGCAGCAACAGCTTTATGAGAGGGGATTTCAGGTCACTTAGGAGAGAAGGGCAGGAGGAACTGGACAATCTGAGAGCCCGGAAAGAAAATCTCTGAGGCTGCAACTGAGTCCAGACTGGAAGGGGAGCCCCAGGACAGCAGGCCTTATATGAGATGCATGGCGGCATTGAGGACCCAAGGCTGCAGATAGTCAGGGGCTCTTTGGAATGGCAGGGGACAACCCAGAGCGATGTGGTATGATGTGATTTTATTTTGTGGTACTAGGGATCAAACTCAGAGCCTCTGCACTGAGCTATATTCCAAGCTCCTTTTATTCTTTATCTTTTTTAAAAAAATTCTTTATCTTGAGATAGGTAGGGCCTCTTCAAGCTGCTCAGGCTGGGTTCAAGCTTCCAATCCTCCTGCCTCAGACTCCCAGAGTTCTGGGATTACAGGCATGCATGACCACACCCAGCTCAGAAAGCTTTTAAAGCACATCACCCTTTCCTAGGGCTTCTCTGGCAGAGTCAAGACAGACCAAAGTGGAAGAAGGCAGCCCTGTTAAAGCCTGACTCACCATCAAGGCATCTGCTCAGGGCACCTGAGGGCAGAGAGTGTCCTAACCTTGTGTCTTCATCATGCCCAGCAAGGAGGCAGTTTCCTGCACAAACACATTCTCCAGAACCCCCTCCCTTCCTGCATTTCTGTTACTGAATCTCCTAAATCTCTCGGTGATCACTTCCAAGTCACAATTTTCACTTCTTTCTTGAGACTGGACCGATAAGCTAATGTCCCTAGGTTTGTTAGCATGGAGGGCTGGGCCCCAGCATTTTAATCAGCAACTCAATAGGAAACTTATGAAATCTGCCAGTGACCCCAGTGGCGGGGGTCCACTCTGAGGGCAGACAAGAGAATGTGATTCCTGGTGAACGCAGCAGTCCAGACTGCTGAAGCCCCACACGAGATGACTTCGCAAGGGCATACGTGGAGTTTAAGTGCAGCCTGTGTCTCCACGGGGTAATGGTGGCCGAACACATCCACGCCGTGGTCATGGCATAAGGGGAAAAGGCTGACAAACCTCACTGCGGGCCTCTGTGGGGAAGAAACCGCACAGGTTGCAGAGCAGCTCGGACGGCACCCTGTAGAGGATGGTGGGGGGCGGGGGGGGGTCCTGATCAAAGTCATCTTGGAAACAAGGACTAAGTGACAAAGTGGCCAAAGGGGATGACCCAGGCCGATAGCTCAGCAAGAGCCACTGAGGGGAAAAATGAAACGAACATGAGAAAGAACAAAATGCTGAAAGAGGTTAAAAGAAATGGTGAAAAATAATACATGTGGGCAAAGAAAATCCAGCACCCCCAGGCTGAAGGAGAGAAGCAAATCAATGGAGGCCAACTAACAGACCGGGGTTTAAAACTACAATCCAAGCTGGGGGTGGTGGTGCACAACTGCAATCCCAACCCCTGGGAGGCTGGGGCAGAAGGACTGTAAGTTTGAGCCCAGCCTGGGCAACTCAGAACCCTGTCTCCAGCAACTAAAAAAGGGAAAAAAATAAATAAAAATAAAATAGGCTGCAGACAGTGCAAAGGCCCTAGGTTCAATCCCCAGTACTGCAAAAAATAAAAGCAAAATCCAAACCAAAACAAAAAACTGTAATCCAAGAAACACTCCAAAACCAGAAAGAGATCTGAGCCCACGTACTGAAGAGTCCACTGTGAGCTGGGAAACTGAACTGAAGAGAACAGAAGTCACTGAGGCACATCTCAGTGAGGAAAGAGAAAGGAAACAGGCAAGCAGTGGATGAAATAACCCCACAGTAAATGCAACATACTTGTTACAACCCTGAGCATAAATGTTAAAAATTCAGATGAGAAAACAAAATGGGGACAAGCGAGTAACGTGACTGACCTTGGGTTCAAGCAGTGGTGCGGGTCACTGACTTTTCAGTGTGACAATGTGCCTGCAGTCATATGGGATGCTACGGGCAGGCCAAGGAACTCATGTACTCAGAGGTGAGCTGCCACAACCTCTAGGACGTGTTCTCAGGTACTCAGTAAACACACACACAAAACGCGACATGATCGGCAATAGCTGAACTTAAACAGAGCGTATGGACACATTGGATGTGTTCTGCTCCAATTTTTTCAGTATGGTTGTACACTTTCAAATTAAAAACCTGGGAAAAGAAAAATCAACCAAGTAACTGTGTGGGCAAGAGCTAGAGGATGGCAGTGCAGTAAAGAGGCCCGGGGCACAGATGAGGGTGACTGAGTCTAGCCAGGGAGAGGTGGACGGAGAAGGAACACTGTGCTGCCTGCTTCCCACACATGACCTGTTATTTCCCAACTCTGCAAACTGGGCATTAGGAGTATCATCCTCCCCAACTTAGAAAAAAGGAGAGAGGCCAAGAGTGGTGGGGATTGGCAGAGCTGGGGTACAAACAGGAGTAGCCCGGTGCTGGCATCCACGCTTTTACCCCTGGCACTGCCACACAGAATGATCAGGGACCTGTGAGGGCAGGAGCCTTGACTCCCTCACTACAGATCCAGATCCTGGCACACAGCGGGTGCTCAATACATGTGTGCTGAGCCAGGAATAAAAGGGGCCTTCTGGGTAAAGCACAAAACCACAAAAGCAGGAAGCTGTTGCGGTCTTGGGCACAGGTAGAGGAGCGATGAGGGGTAATGCTGAAGCAGGGGTGCAGCCAAAGCCTCCTGAGCTGTGGACTGCTCATTCACGCACACCACCTACTTAGGAAGGATCTGAGTGTCTGCCAGGGGTTGAGCCAGGTGCTGAGGCCACCTCTGGTGGGCAAGATAACCTGGTTTCTGCTACCATGGAGTTCACCTTCTGGTAGGAGGGACAGGCCAATTCCACTCCATTCCAGTGTGACCAAAACCAGCTCAGGGTTGGCTGTGATCTGAATGCCCCCCTTCCCATATGCTGAAGTTCAAACCCACACAGTGATGGTGTTTAAGAGGAGGCTCTTTGGGAGATGGCTGCATCACCACGTGGCAGCTGTCTGAAACTTGAAAGAGCCCTAACCGGGACCTGATCGTGCCATATCCTGAAGTCACACTTTCACTCAATGGACTCTGAGAAATAAATTTCTGTTATTTATAAGCCATCCTGCCTGAGGCATTTTGCTATAGTAGCCCACATGGACTAAGACAAGGGTGCTGAGGAGCAACTCCTGGTCTTGTAGGATGAAGGGGCTCACTGAAGGAAGTAATGTGGAAACTGGGCCCTGAGAGGGGTCAGAGGTGAACGGGAAAGGAAACAGACTGCAAAGGTTAGGCAGCCAGATACAGCACGGCATGTCTGAGAGAGTCAAAGCCATCCAGAGTGGAAGGTAGGTATGCTGAGGATGGTGTTGGAAGATGAGCCTGCAAAGTCAGTCAATCAAGCACATCATGAAGCCATGTCAACCAGTGTGAATTTTATTTACCATGATACCACAGGAAGGGCACTGACATGTTTTCAAGGGACTCCTGGTGACATAATCATATTTGCTTTTTTTTTGGTACCGGGAATCAAACTCAGGACCTTGCGCTTTTGAGGCAGGCGCGGTGCCACTGAACTAAATCCCCAGCCCCACATTTGCTTTTTAAGAAAACTGCTCTTCTAACAAAATGAGGGAGCAACATTTGAGGCAGGGAGTCCAGAAAAACACTGCTTGCAGGAAAAGTGATGGCAGCAGAGATAGGCAAGGGGAGAGAAGAGGCAGACATGGGGAGCGAGTTCAGCAAGAGTTAACAGGCAGAAACAAGGGAGGCAGGGTGAAACGGGCGTGAAGGAAGGGAGAGGATTCCCTTAACTTTTGCCTCTGTTTTTCCTTTCAGAGGCTCCTCAACCTGTCAATCAAATTCTACAAAAGGAGGGCTATGGGGTTTAGCTAAGCAGTGGAGTGCTTGCCTAGTATGTGCAAAGTCCTGGGTCCTATCCTCAACACTGAGAATAAAATAAAATAAATTAAGAAACTAACTCTACAAGAGGAGAGACTGGCCTCTACCCTGAGTTTGTTCCCCGTCTTGCAGCTCTGTTCTTTCAGCTGAGGCGACACTTGGCTCAGCGTCCCTCCCAGGTTACCTCGAGCTCAGGGTAGCTGAGCACCACCAGGGAAGCACAGGCGCTGACACAGTCCCCCTTCACGAAGGACACGTCAACGCCCCCAACCCTCCGCAGACCCGAGAAGGCGGGGTCCCGCTGCCACGCCTCCGTGTCTCGGTCTACCAGCAGGGCTTTCAGCCGGGCTTGCTCCCTAGGACGACAGAAACGTCAAAGCAGGCCCCGGCCCCACGCCGGGCTTTCTCACATCAACCCCCGAGGCGCTCTCCTTGGAGCGTCCTCCCTCCCGCCCTGCCAGTGCTTATCTTCCTTCCCCGGGAAGGAAACGGACTCCCTGGCCAGACCACAGCCCCAGGGAGCCGGCCGAGGGGCGCGGGGGACAAGCGCCAGCCGGAAGCTAGGGCAACGGACTACAACTCCCACAGGCCTCTGGCCCGCGCCGGAAGCCAGGGATGCCCGACTTCGGTGGCTAGAGCACCGGTCTCTGCACCTGCAAAGCCAGGGGCACGAGGTCGGCGGGGCCACGAGGTCGGCGGGGCCTCGGAGAAACGCGAAGTCCCAGCCCTTGGCTGCCGCGCGCCGTCCCATTACCGTTTCCAGAGCGACAAAGTTTCCTCAGACGGTTGTACCGCGGCCTTCTGAGCCATGACTCATCCTCGGCGCGCTTCTGAACGTCATTTCCGGAGCGCCAGAACCTGCCCCCCCCCGCGCGCGCGCCGTCGTTGCATTGTAGTCCCTGCCCTTGGCCGCTGGGGGGTCGCTTTGCAGCGACCTGGGTTCCCCGACCGCGGATACTCGTGGACTAGCCGGAGGCCCTAGAGGATCAAACACCCTCGAGTGGCGGACGCACGATCCTCTCGTACTCGGGGTGGCTTGGCCGCCGCGTTCGCAGCGGTCAGCTGGAGCCCCTGGCCGCCGGGTCCCCCGAGTTGCGCCTCGTGTGTCTCTTGTTCCAGCTTCAGCTCTTGCGCTGTGCTGCAGGATGCTCTCTGATTTTGGAAAAAGGTGGTCTGGCTCTCCTCCTCCAGCCCCTGCCCTAGGTGGCCTTTGCTGGACTCCGAAACGACTCACCAGGGGCTTCGACAGCCCAGCAGCGAACTCTCCAAGCACCTTCCGAGTCCTGCTGTTGACGCGGTCCTCCGTGGCAGTTCAATGGCCATGGAGGACGGAACTGCTCCCTGGACGCACAGGCTGGATCTTACTGGGCAAAAAGCCTCACCCAGCAAAGAAAATAGGGACCACTACCTTTGGAACACTGTTTTTTGTGACGGTTTCGCTACGTAGTCCAGATTGGCCTTGAATTAACTTTGTGGCCCAGGCTGGCCTCGAACTTGGAGTGATCCTCCTGTCTCAGCCCCCCCGGTGCTGGGATTACAGTTGTGTGCCATGCAACATTGATTCTTATCCAGTGCTCCTCAGTTTTATAAATATTTATTCAGTGCTCTTTCTGTGCCAGGCTTTGTGCTAGATGCTAGGGGTTATGGCTTCATCTTGGTGCTTTCTGTCTCATCAGGGGCAGGAGGACTTGTGAATATGTGATATCATTGTGATGAGTACTATGAGTGAAAATAAAATATGAGGAGCCAACTTGGAACTGGTGTGGGAAGGGCCCCTCTGAGGAAGTGATACTCAGACCTGAAGGGTGAGTTGCAGAGCGTGCCAGGCAGAGGGACGAGCAGGTGTAAAGATCTTAAGGTAGGAAAAGAGGTTGGTGTATTTGACCAGCAGTGAGGCTAAAGTCTGTTTCACTGGTGGCTTACATTCTAACTAGGAGAAATCAGGAAAGTACATACATTGTATAAGTAATATGGTGGAATGTAGACTTCAAGAGAAAAATAGAGCTTAGGTTAGATTTGAGTTTCTTCAGGGGAGGGACGTTTGCCTAACCCTTGAAAGATGGGCAGGTTCTCAGCTGGAAAAGAACCTCGTTTCTTGAGCATACACCATAGCCAGACACTGTGCTGTTTTTTTTGTTTTTGTTTTTGTTTTGCCAACTTTATCTTATTTCTCACAAAAACCTGGGAAGTATTTTATAGCAGGGGAAATTGAGGGTTAACGTTTGCCCCAGGTCAAGGAGCTGGCAAACAGGAGAAGCAAGACCTCCAAGCAGCTTTGTCTGGGGTGTTGTTGCAGAGCTGTCAGGAGAAGGGGCAACTGGATTTGGTAATTGGGAGCCACTGGACAGGCCTGCGATGGGGCACAGGCAGTGGGGTCTGAGGAAGGTGCTGTCCTGGGCGAGTTCCTCTTGTGCCTCAGGGTACAGCTATCAGCCTGGAAGGACCAGCTCTGCAGCCCGCCTTGGAGGAAGGCAACAGTTGCTAACTGTGCAGTGCCTGGGCAGGAGTGATGTCCAGAGCAGGGAGACGGGCTGCTGCATGTGCTGTCCCCTGGGCCTCCCCTCCTTACTGCCCCAGAAGACTGAAACACTCCCTCTACCTCAAAAGGAAGCAGGGTCACTGTCCCCAGGACACCCTACCGAGAAGGTGTGAGTTTTGTGAGCATTTGCTGTCAGGAAAAAATGCTGTCCTAGTGCTTGTTTTGCCAACTAGACAAGAATGCTTGAGCATCAGTGAGCTTGAAAGGATCAGAAACATGCAGAATGTGATGCAAATGCTAATCATGGCAGGCTTGAATTGCCCAGTACTCAGCCAAGGCCACCGGCATCTCCTGCCCCATGGAGCCTTCTCTCCAGGCCCAGCTGACACAGTGTTTCCTGTATCTCATCAGGGTTCTTTCCCATCCCATACCAGTTCAGGTGGGGACTGCTAGACTTTGGTTACCTCACCTCCTTTAAGTTTGAGTTGATGTTTTCTTCACAATGACTTACTTCATCACTAGAAGTTTGTTTCTGAGTTGGAACTGCCTCAACACTGCTCATGGCTGTCGCGGTTAACAGATTGGTAAATCTTCTAACGACAGTATTAAGGGTCATCACAGTGGATCCCTCGTATCTTCTCCCTGAGACCGCCCCCCCCCCACCGATGCAACATTTGTTCCCTGACCGGGAAACGTAAGACCCCCAGACATAGTATGCTCAGATGAAGTGGCAGTGAACGTGGCTCCCTTTCTGGAGATACCCCCATCTTCTGGCTGGGCCCCTTCTCGGTGGTAGGGGAACCCAGTAATTTTGATTAACTTTAGGTTGGTCTTAAACACCCTGCAGTCAGCAAAGTCCATCCTATCCAGACACTCCTTCCCCCTTTGGGAAAACTCATGGATAATGACATTCCTTTGGGAGCCCATAAAAGAGCTATTACCCAAAAGTAGGGCCTTTGTTTGTGGTTTCAGTACAGAGGAGTCTGGAGGCCAGTCAGTCTGTGGAGGAGCCAAATTCTGTCCCTCCCTGGGGCTGCCTAAAGGACCCTCAGCTTTGTTTCTTTTCTACAGTAAATTTCCAATTAAAACTTTTGCCTGTAAACTCATAATGCTGCCTCTGTTTTAATCTCCATTATCAGTGACGCAAAGGCCCATGCCAGACAGTGACCAGAGGACCCTTTCTGAGGCTGAGGCTGGAGGGAATGGGGCCTGTGAAGAGCAGTTCCGCTGTCCTTGTGTCCAGAAGGAGTTTTCTGTCCCTCACTGTAGATCAGAGTGTAGGTTTCTTTGCTTAACCCTCTACTTCATAGTCACTTCTGCAAGGACATCAGCATAAAAACCCAAAACTATTCCCACAAGCCCAGCTGAGGTCTAGGTGCCCTAAATGGAAACTGCCCCCCATAAAGGATTTGTTAGCAGCAAAACTCAAGTTTATTAAAATAGGTGTGACAAGTATTATGCAATTTACTTTTTCTGTGCTAGACCAGTATATTTTTGTACAAACAAGATAATGCTAGATATGACAGTTAAGGCTTTGAAGCATACAAAATGAGGCATCTTAACTAAAAGCCCTTCATAACAGAAAAAATGCCCCGGCCAAAGCGGGGAAAAAGGTTTTCACAGCAAAAAACATCAACTGACTCCCACCTGGTGAGAAACAGTGTGGGCCTGAGCTGTGCCCCAACTCTGGGGCTTCAAAGGCACTCCAAGGCCAAGGCGGGAGTCCCACAGCCCTCTCCCCAGCCCCCAGACAGAGATGTCCGAGAGCAGGCAGCGGGGAATGGCTCTGCATAGTCTGGAATGAGAAGACAGTTGTGGATTATTAGATTCAAGTGCACATTTTGTGGAACAGGCACGAGGTAGAGAATATCAACACGGTGGAAAGGGAGCGTGGTTCCACCTGCCCTCCCACCAGGTGCTCTCGTGTCCTGACCACCATTTTCAATTTTGTAGCTCAAGTACATGGCCCTGATTTCAAGTTGATGGAGACTCTTAACTCACTTACAATGTATGCGAAGGACACATCAGTTGCTCTGATGTCACTGCAGATGGATGCCCGGCCGCCAGGAATAGGAGTCAGCCCCAAGAAGTCAAAGGTGTCAAAGTAGATATTTTTTGGGGGAAGAAAAATACACCACAACAAAAAGAGCAGCACAAGATCAGGGTAAGACATTTTCTTATCCCTTTTTCAGAAACTTAACTGGTTTTGCACCAAGTCTCGGTTTTTATGCCTTGGCTGAGACCCAAAGGATGGACCAGATATGCATACACTTGGGGAAGCTGAGATCACACTAAGAATGCACACTTAGCTGGCACAGTGCTGGACAGCCGAAACCTCCCCACGAAATGGCCAAAAGCATGCTTCTAACTGAAGTGTACAGGAATCAACTTTCATTTAGGATCTCAAGATATGAGAATGGGAAGAGGCTGTGGCTGTCAATCCACACTGTTCAGGGGGGAACTGAGACCACCCAAGTCCCCAACTCTTAGTCCAGTGCTTTGCACCGAGTTTTGAGCCTGACCTTTTGAAATCTGGCAGTGACTTATGGAGGGTCTGGGTCAGCTCTCGTTTGTGCGGCTGGAGGCACAGGCAGATGCCGGCTTTCCAGCATCTGTTGGGAGAAGCTGAAGAGTGTGGTACTTCTGTACATCTTGGAAACCAAGAAATCTATGTGTAATACGGAGAATTTGAGGGACTGGGAGAAAGAAGAAAACCAGATTCTCTTCTGTGAGTGCGGAATGGAGTGGAAAAAAGGAAACATCATTTCCCCTATTTTTCCTCCCTTTACATTGTAATGGGAGGAAGAAAGGGCCTTATGGCCCAGAAGTTCAAGGTAAGAGGTTGGCAGGCCTGAGACAGACCATGAGCGGATATGACCATTACTTCGACACTGCTTGTCTCTCCTGGAAAACACAGGATGGGGCCTGATTTCCTAATTCATGTAACTGCAGCTCCTAACTCCTAATGAGCAGTGTTCACAGTACAACAAAAAAGTTCTGGAGTATGTGGTTCTAGAATGCAGAAGCAGTGCGGCTCCCACAGAGCTGGCGATGGAACAGTGCGTGTGGACTTGAGTTCAACGCTGCATGGCAGTTCCTCTCTGCGCAATAGTAGATGCCAATCCTGCTGGGCAAGGGGTGGAGCCATCTAGTCTGTCCAGGTGGGTCCGAGGCCAGAGCTGAGGGAGTCACTCTACCTTGCTTGTCGGTCCCGCTTCCGTGTGGCAGCGGCTTTCCACACAGAGACGCAGCTGGACAGCAGTATCTCTTCTGGGAACTGGGATTCCAAATCTGGAGGGACTTCACTGTCTTTAGTTTCCATGTAACTTACCAGAGTGTCCCTCAGGCTGCAGAAGCAAGAAACAAGAGACACTATTTATAACGTCAGGAGGCCAATGAACTGTCCATCTTCCTGGTCCTCCAGAGGGCCAGGGTGCTCACTAAGATCAGACATTGAGGTCAGCTGTCAAGAGCCATTTCATATACATTTTGAGGAAAAATCATTTCATAATTAAAGTATGAGAATAGTTGTGCAAGGCCCAATGTTGCCTTGCCTGAAAGCTGGCTATAGCACGTGGAAACATAACTCTGTTTTACCTCCGGTCACAGCTGAGGCCTCAATGGTCCATGAGGCTGTGGAGCTCAAAGGCAAGATTACATGAGCTGAAGACATCCTGGTTCTCTGAGAACCAAGTAGTAATACAAAAAGAGAAAGGTTTCACCTGGGGGAAGGACGAATTCCTTATCAGCTTAACTCATCCCACCTACGGTTGTGGGAATGCTCTCCTTTCTACCCTGATCAACATGAGATTCGCATCGACATAGATCACCGTAAGTCACCCGGTACTCCCTCCAAGTATTGTGTGTACCCCATAAATGCTGGCTG